ATAAGGAAAATTATTCAATCACATTTCTGTCATACAGACAAATGTAAACTACGATTGAATGATTTTCTTTATGCATATATGTTTATATGAGTATGCAAGTTTGTGTGGAATGCCTATGACGCTGCATTACTACCATGTAGAAGTATGAAACCGGAATTTTTTTGTAAAAATTACACGTCTGTTGTTTGAAAATGATAAATAATATTTTATTCAAAATAATCTCCATTGCTATTTATACATTTTTCCCACCTCTCCGGCAGTTTATGAATGCCACGCCAAAAAAACAGTTCTTTTTTTGACGCGAACCAGTTATCGAGCCATTTTCGTACATTTTCATACGTATTGAAGTGTTGTTCAGCGAGAGCGTGTCCCAGTGATGCGAATAGATGATAATCGGACGGAGCCAAGTCTGGAGAATAAGCCGCATGCGCTAATATTTCCCAACTGAACGCCTCGATCGTTTCCCTGACTCGTTTTGCTGTGTGTGATGGAGCATTATCATGAAGCAAAATGACTTTGTGTTGCCTTTTACCATATTCCGGTCGTTTTTCACATAATGCTCTATTTAAATCGATCATTTGCTGTTGGTAGCGATTAGTGTTAACGGTTTCACCAGGTTTTAGCAGCTCATAATAAATTACACCCTTCTGATCCCACCAAACACAGAGCATTGTCTTCTTTCCAAAGCGATTTGGTCTTGCCGTGGATGTTGATGGTTCGCCTGGATTCACCCATGATTTCCGACGCTTAGGATTCTCAAAATATATCCATTTTTCATCACCTGTCACGATTCGATGGAGAAATGACTTTCTTTTGTATCTGTCGAGCAGCAGTTCACAAACGGTTTTTCGATTTTCTTGCTGTCTTTCATTCAGTTCATGCGGAACCCATTTTCCCACTTTCTGAATTTTTCCCATAGTTTTCAAACGAATGGAGATGGCTTTCTGCGTCACATTCAATTGATCCGCGAGTTCTTGTTGAGTTTGAGTATCATCTTCATCCAACAAGGCTTGCAATTCGTTGTCTGCGAACTTTTTCGGTGGTTTCCCACGCTCTTCGTTTCTCACGTCAAAATTACCACTTTTAAATTTTTTGAACCACTCGAAACACTGTGTTTTACCAAGAGCATGTTCACCGTAAGCTTCGACAAGCATTCGATGCGATTCTGCAGCAGTTTTCTTCAAATGATAACAGAAAACCAATGCTGTCCGCAAATCGTAGTTCGTAGGCACAAAACTCGACATGTTTAAGGTTATGAAAAAATATACCGGTGTATGGAACTTGGGTTGTTGTGTGTTGGAAATCTTCGTCAGCTGTTAGAGAGAGATGATGGCGCTGCAGATGCGGCCTTGGAGTCCCTAAACTGATAGCTAGTGCCATATATAGGGAAATTCCGGTTTCATACTTCTACACTGGTATATCGACTGTTGTAGCACAAGGGCTGCCGGAAGCGCCGAAATAAAACATCGGCTGCTCTGGCGCTGTATGAAGGCTGTCTTAAGCCTTGTCTACAATACACGGTGTAAGAAGTAAGAGTACTTTTTACTCCGTGTATTGTAGACGACGTCTTAGTGGAATAGGCCTATTGGGGAAACCACTTAAAAAAAACGCATCTATATTAGTACCTCTAAGGTGATGTGGAAAACTAGTGTAATTAAAACTTTCAATATAATTTTATGAGGGGCTACGTGAAGATTTTTCTCCTACTCGCAAACAACAAAAAAGTATATTTATACATCGAAATAAATATTGAAGTTCATGTTAAAATCGGAGAGACGAAGAAAATATGGTTTCATTCTCACGAGAATAGGTGATAGAGGAGCCTATTCTTTATTTTAAATATATTCTATTAAGAATTCATTCCGTCGCAATTGAAATAAATAAGTAAAATATATGGTCCATATTTATCATAATTATAACTGTTACATATATACTATTCATTCTTCAGTATATATATGTACCATTTACTTCATTGTAGCTTATACAAGGTTAAGTTACAGGAATCGAAAACATATCCATTTGTGATATTTGTGTATTTGTACTCTGAAAAGTATGTGATATAGCCCAAAGCTATCATTAAAATGAAAAGTCTAGCCATGTTCAAAAATGTAAGCAGATCTTCAAAAATGTAAACCTTTAACAATTGAAATAATTATGTAACAATATATATTATTATGAAAAGTAACTGATATATTATTCAAAGTCTCAGTTCAAA